AAATAAATTTTGTATTTTAAAGCTGCATCTGTAACTTTTTTGTTTAAAATTTACATTAAAATATATAATGATTAAAGTACATCATGAATCCATTTTTTTTAACAACCACCTCAAACATATTTTGAAGGTACGCCTATAATAAATGTTTATATTCGGACTATTTTAGACTGGTTCGGGTCGTACCACTGCGGAGTAGACCTTACAGTCTATGGACATAAATAGAGAGAAGTAGATCCGGCTACAATTCTTCCGCAAGACGCATGCAGTTCTGTTTATTAACCGTTAGAGCGCCAACAGTTACGGACTGCAGGGACTATTTGTATGAGTTTTCACGTATTAATTGCTTTTTTATTGCCAATGTGTGAACAGCTTGTAACGAAACTTTAAAAATGTTAATAAAAAAAAAGAGATATTCCACAGACTTGTCTATGAAAGCCTGTATACTGATTTTTTGTGAAGGACTCGGACGGTTTTTTTTTTTATTACAAGGATGTGATGCTTAAGCGCGTTCAAGAGAGCCTCTCTCCGTTAAACGACGCATGAAATGAATGTTTTCAATATTCAGGATAATGCAGAAAGAGCCATGTTGTACTGCAATGTGTCATGCAAAGAAACGTAATTAATTCAAACTAAAGTCTCACATGATAGTCAGGTCTATAGAATAGTCTCAAATATAGGCCTATACTATACTTTATAACCAAACTATCATAACGGTGTAAATTGAATTAGGCCTACCTCATCAGTTGATGATGCCGGCGAATTGCAAGCAAATCCACATCGCAATGATCAGAAGTTTTCTTAACTGTTTTCTCACCGCCGTCATTTTTGTTGTGTGTTGTTTATTTTGGAAAGCGCGCACACATCTTTCAGTTTCCGTTAACCGTCGCTCTCAGCAGCGTGGACGCGTCTGGATGTTGTTATCTATTTCGCTGCAAAGGTATTTCCAACTTCTTTTTACTTCTAAGTGAAGAACGATAAAGTTCGTGAGCAGATATCGAGGGCGAGGGAAGCCTTGAATCACGTTCAGTCTCTTGTACGTTTACGGTACGTGCGCACGAGATGAGTGCGAGCAAGTTGCTGTCTGCAATTCACTTAACAGCCACCGGTGTCGCTAATAACAAGAATTTCTGAATTCAACTTAAAGCCCCTGTAAAATATTTTAAAATATAATTTATTTCTGTGATGGTAAAGCTGGATTTTCAGAATCATTACTTCAGTCTTCAGTGTCACATGATCCTTCAGAAATCATTCAAATGATTTGGAACATTAATAATAATGTCTTATTATCATAAATGTTGAAAAGAGTTGTGCTGGTTACATTTTTGTAGAAACCATCATTTCAGGATTCTTTGATAAACAAAATGTAGCATTATAAATGCTTTACTTTCACTTTTGACTAATTTAATGCATCCTTGCTGAATAAAAGTATTAATTTCAAAAAAAAAAAAAAAACTAATTTAACCCAACTGGTAGTGTGTCAGAAAGAATGTAAAAAGTTGTATTTGGTTGGCTTACATAACATTTCAAGAATTTTTACAGCAAAAGCATAGCGACCTCTAAAACAAGGTAATTCTACTAAAGATATCATGAAACAGAGTGGGAACAAGTTTCCATGCAATAAAAAAAAAAAATTCCATTCCAGCATCAACTCTTCAAATCCACAAACCCTTAAAAAACAAGGTGGAGTTTAAAAAGTCAAATCACCCCACCTCCACGAGCAGATGAGCCGCCCCACAACCGCCGCTATCACAGATACAAGCGCACAGGGCCCCTCGGTAACATTTCACAACCAGACAACTCAATTTACAAGAACCCAAGAGCACTGAAAATAGAGCAACAAAAACGAAGTGCACAGATCAAAGGAGTGAGTTCAGTTTAAGGGCCGATGCTCACTACGCTTTTAGAAACGCTAAACGAAATACCACATGTCTGGCCTTTAATCTCATAACAGCTAAAACAAGCTAAAACAAAAACCCCTAAAAACGTATCAGACCGTAAAGCAAGCTCCATGTTTGAGCAATTGGACGCAGAGAGCCGGTGGGACAAACAGCAGCACAGCAAATCATCTAATAAAGCTTCACTCCCAGAGGAGAGTTCAATGTAGGACTCTCTCGGCCTCCCATCATTCTTGTTCTATTAATACACCCAAACAAAAAGAGGAGGCAGTAATGAGGGAGCTTCAGGGAGAACAGTGATGGGGAAGAGGCCAAATGTGGCAGCTTTCAGCCACATGAAAGTGAGCCGAGCTCCTGCTGTTCTTATTGCTCTTGTCCTTTGCCCGGGTTCGAGTGGGCAGGAGCACCAGTTTGTGTGTGTTTGAGTGTGTGCGTGCCGTGCATGTATGCGTACCCGCCGCTGGGTCCTGATCCAGCCCTCGCCATTTAAACGCTCAATATGATGTCTTGTCTCGGTTAGTGCACAAGAAGTGGAATGCATGATTTACTTAGAGACCAGAGCCTTGCGACTGTCCCTAAAGATGGCAGGTATGTTCGCCCTGATGATGAGGCACCGTTTATATTCATTATTTTTTAATGCATAAAGGTCTTTCAGGATATGAACAGAGACAAACATTAGAAAGGAAGAAAATAACTTTGCATAGCAATGTATAGTTCAAGTGCCTTTCAAATAGTTTTGTAGTGCTAGCAAGATATGAATGAATTATAGATTAATGCTCTGAATAATACAGATGGTCCTTTTGGGCCAAAGATAAAATCATTCCTTTTCAACTATAGAACGCCACCACCGAATAGAAAATACAATCTACACAAACACAGAGAACCATTTAATCAGCTCAGCAGTGTTGTACACGCCGCATTCGAAGATCGATTGCGTCACAGCGGCACGCCAAAGTTTGAAGACTCCTTCGTATGTGGCCTCGAAATGAGTCCTTCATTTCACGAGCAATGAAGGATACAACACATGAATCCTTTGCTGCCTAGCCTACATCAGAATTCATTGCGCGCTGGTAACAACAGGATTTTTTGGAGAGAAATTGACGAATTACACTGTTAAATGCAAGTATTAGGTTTCAACTTACTCGAATACAAATGTTAATATACCAAAAAATGTATATAAAGAAGTTCAAATGGTACATCTAAGATGTGATTTTATATAGTTTTTACTCTTAATTATGTTCAGAAATGGACCAAGGTAAACATATTTAGACGGGTTGTGAACCTTGCTTTGTTTTCAGACAGTTAAATATAACTTTCAAAAAAGTCCAGAACAAACGTTACTGCCGCTCTTCAACAGCAGCTGTCACAGTTGTTAGGCGACAAGAACAATCATCCGTAGGCTAGACCGTCTCATTTAACAACGCTCAGTCGGACCTTTGCGGCCTTCGAAGAAGTGGCCTTTGAAGTCGGTGTCCTTTGAAGGATGAAGCCTCTCAATTGAGACACAGCTTTAAGAGTAAAGGTTCTTTGTTGGTCTCCATGGTTCCATGAAGAACCTTTAACATCCTTAGAAACTTTACATTGTACAAGAAGTTCTTTATAGAGGAAAAAGGTTCTTCATACTTTTCCACCGGCACGGTTCCGGTGCAGGTTCCCGGCCTTTGTCCATTCTTGAACCATTCCATTCAAGATCGGTTCAACTCCGACCCTAAAAACTTGCTGCTCTCGAACAGAGCCGGAAAGCCGTGGCGAAGAATAGCTGTCACTCTATGGCAATCTCGTTGAGCAATGTAATAATGTTGCACTACATTGGTCTTTATATCTAAATAAATAAAACTGTGCACGCAAGAGAGACCCCGCGTGCGAGAGAGCGAGTCTCCAAAAAGGACAGATGATAGTACCGGGAATTTATGCAAGCTGCCGATACACTAAAAGCACTAGTACCGGTACTGTGAACAGCAAAACAGAAGTCCCGCACTGCCTGTACAAACATCCGGATGCACACTGTTTGATTTTAGACTGTTTATAGTCAGGTAAACAACAAGTAGCAGCATTACATCTCTGTTTGTTCCTAAGGTCTGTGGAAACACGTGGCCAGTTTGCGACAGGCTCCAGTTCGCCTGGCCGAGAAAAGGCTCTGGCTCAAAGAACACAAACTATTCTGGTGGAAAAGAGCGATGAAAGGTTCTTTAGGGAACCCACAATGGTTCTTCTATGGCATTGCTGCAAAAACTCCCTTTTGGAACTTATTCTTAAGAGTCTGGACTCAAACTCAAATCCAAGACCATATTTTCTATGACAAGTCAAGACCAGCTCATTCGAGTCCGAGTCCAGGCTGTTCAAATGCTCTTGAAAATATCTGATATTGTCCAGACTTGAGTACTATAAGATTTCAGCTCGGTGTCACAAAAACTCCACGGCTTGTGAAACAGGCGATGCAAAGATGAAAAAAACGCAAGCTCATCGTTTTAAACACCACAGGCTCTACCGCAGCCTGTTTTGAAGCATCAGTCAACTAACACAGGGCCAAAAAACACAACGTGCCACTATCAAACAGGAAGCCACAGATGTCTTCTGGCATATCACTTCATTTCAGGCTAAAATGTGGCCTGCAGTCATGGTTATCATATATAAGATAAGCGTGTCATTAGACTTTGCAGACGCATAGTTTAAAGTCTACGTGAATTGCAACCCATTGTACTTCCTCTAATAAAGCACTTTTTCAAGAAATTAGATTATCCATCAGGAATTGATTGGATCATGAAAAGTAGGCAGTGATAGAAACCAGAATACAGCCAGATTAAAAGTGAGTTTGCTAAATCTACGGCTAAATAGCCATTTACTGGTTAGTTATCCAATAGCCTGGGTAACCTACGTGATGTTACTGGAATAGAAAAGTCATTGCAGAGGAAGCAAGAGTTATTAAATTTTTATTAAACTATGAAAACTTTTTTTTTTCTTTGTAATAACATGCACCAAAGAATCGTTCACAATAGAACCTGGTGCATTAATAATTTAAAATGGGTCTATTCTGAATTCATGTTGACTTTAAACATCTATCGGCAGATTCATGCTCAGCCTAATCTTATACTCAAGCATAAAACCTCAAGTAACGAAACCCAACGTCCAAGTCAACACCTCTAGCGTTTTCTCTTTTAAGCCGCGGTCACATTAGCAAAATTTCAGCAAAAAACATTGTTCCATTGTCCACTGTCAATAGTGTATCGATGCTTCCAGAAATGCTCATACAGAAGTCACTTTCAAACCATGCAGTTTCTTGTTGGTCAATGCTGAAAATCTGTGTGACAGCTTGAACCAAATACAAAATTGGATTTCAGCTTCAAAATTTCACAGAGCAAGGGTAAATGTGACCGCACCTTCAGCCAGTGGCTTTGTCTTCAACTCTTTAGAAATTAGCTCAAGTTTATAAGAACAAATAAATAACCTGAGGAAGGTATCTCAACAGTAAATTCAAATAACACGTAAATGTGAAACAAACGGTCTCTTTTACCTTGCCCATAAACAAGAGTTTTACACAGAACACGGAAACTATAACACCTAGTTGTTGCTACTTCAGTAAAATCTTTTGGAAGAAGTCAAAGATTAAAGTTAAATATGTGAATCAACACCATAAAGCTCCCAGCACAAATGGAGCTGTTATATTTGGTATATACCAGTTTGTCAAATATACCAAATATCTATTATATACCAAATTTGAGAGAAGTCTGTATAAACAATAAATCTCCATTTAAATAAATTCTATTTATATTTAAAATACATATTCCTTATCTTTTTTGCCTAAAGCAAAGCGCCTGGTCTGTCAGGACACTGCACAAGCCGGCTTTTCTTCTTTCTCCATCAGTGGAAGGTCTAGATGCTCCTCAAAGTGAACTTCTCTCTCGTGTTTGAGACACTGGACTGGATGCAGTGATATTCAGCCATGCAGAACTTGAGCCAGAAGTTCACACCAGCTCGGTCTTCAGCGCTCATGGTGTGCATCTATTGCTAATGATGGATTTGAGTTGGTCCCCACATGCAAATTCTGGAGTTGTACACCCTTGCCAGAGTGTGAGGAGAAAGAATGAGACAGTGGGAAAGTTATGTCCTATCACTCTGTAAGCTGGAGTTCGCCCTGAGAAGGCTCAACGTCAGGGCCCAGAGTGAGAGGCGTGCTCACGGATGCCTGGGGAATGATGGCCGTCTCTCCGCCCAGTGGCGTCTTATCCTGAGACTGGGAGGAAGAGGAAGAGGAGTGCGTGCTCTCGCTAGAGCTGCTGCGGGTCTCTGTGCTGGTGCTGGTCTTCTTCATCTTCCTGCGTTTGGCCAAAGGAGCCTTGTCAACCGTCTGAAGTCGGAATCCCTCCCGCTTACACTTATTAAAGGCCTGGGGAAGAAAAAATGGATGACCATATCAGTATCTGCCAAAATTACAGTTATAATATACAAAGCTTACTGTATAATTTATAATAATAATGTATTATTATTTTATTACTTATTCAAATTAAAACAGTAATTAAAAAAATAATACAAGCTAAGCACTTATCCAAATTTCCTACTCTGCATTGTCAGCATGTTCTGTAAATTGCATGTAAAAAAAGATTCAAGCTTTATTCTGAACACTATCCCAAACAAAACTGCCGTTTTTTGCTGTATGCCTAAACAAATTAGGTATTTATCATTAACATTTATCCACACCCATCTACTCCTTTATATTATGTTGTAATATTTATTTTCTAGCCTACTTCCATTTTTCTTACATTGAAGGTGGCTTTGAAACAAGAGTGCACTGATCTGGTAGAAGATCCCAGGATGTCAGGGGTCATAAGAGGGTTGGAGGAGAGCTGGCTGTCGTCCTGCAGCCAGGCATTATAGCGTAGGCCGCACATCTTTATCCGCTTGTTAGGGTCCACCGTCAGCAGCTCTGTACCATGAGTAGGCCAAACATTAACATTTTAGTTTTAACAAATGCATTCCTATTAACACTACCCAATGGTCTCTAAACATATCTAGCTGTATCTCACCTTGTATCAGATCTTTGGCCTGGTTGGACACATTCCTCCAGGCTTCACCTTCAAAAGAGAAGTCTCCTTTTTTGATTTTCCTCATGATCTCCTCTGCACTGGTGTGCGTTAGACTCTTCTCCTGACACTGAAATGGGACCTGGCCAGATAGCATGGTGTACTGCAACAAAAAGCATACAAGAGCACCTTAATGTGAGGTACCTCAAGGTTCTATCTTAGGACCAATTTTAATTTTCTTCATATATGCTTCTCTTTGTCTTCATTAAAAAAAAATCTTCACAGTTATGCTGATAATACAGAGCTTTATCTAACTTTTGAAGTAAACATGAAATGAAAAAAGTGACCTAATTTATTTTCCAAATACCAACTGTTGATATGGAGGAGAATAGTCCTCCACAACTGACTGTAAACACTTTTCTTTATCCAATCAATTTAAATCTTTTTTGATATGCAGGATGATGTTTAAATGTAGGATGGCTAAAACCAATCACTGGTTAAAAAAAAACAAGACACTGTTTATATCATTCAGTTTTATATCAGTTTACATCACTTATTTATTTATGTTCAGCAGGGACCGCGCACATACGATTACTGTAAATGCGCCATAATTAGCTTAATGTGGGTTAAGACTTATTTGTTTTTGCTAGACATTGCAAAAGTCATTGTGTGCTGGACAGATGTAATGTGCATTCTTCCATTTGTTTGTATTTGAGTACAGCACAGCACTTTTAAAAACAACAGAAGTTGATCAATGTGCACTATAATTATATTGGAGATCAAATTATATTGTTAGGAAAGTGATATAAAATAGAGAACATGTACACAGCTAAATGAGCTCTCGTCTCTCTACGTGCTGCGCAGAGCTCCAGGGTTTTTCAGCTCACAGCCTGTCAGAGATCATCATGTCAAACTCTGCTGCACTACTCTGTTCTCCCCCCCAGTCACGTCCTGCTCCTCAATACAGAGCGAGGCAGAAATTGACCCACAAAAATAACTCAGCTTTGGACATCTCCCCCAGGCTCATCTCGCTATCTCCTCTCATCTTTCTCTCAATGAAGTTCTGGCTGAAATCTTCCGCTTAAGGGTAGCTGTGATGACTCCAATCAGCAATGCTAAGCTGTTTGGAAAAGGGCTTGATAGTTTGTTTATATTGGTTGGTGTTCAACTGAATAAGTGTCAGAAACAGCAAGACATGGATTCATATCCAAAATGAGCAAGTAATCTACATGAAGCAGGATAAAAGCTTGTGTATACAGAAGCACTCGTATATCTTCACCCTCCGATATTTTATTTCCATTAAAAAGCCTGAACAAGGAGATACTTCCAAATGACCTAAAGCAGAGTGGTGTGGGTCACATTTATTACTTGCCCCAGGGATTACTTGCCCTTAAAGCAGGGATGACATATTTTTGTAGGCCAAAACCAAGAAATGGGTTAGCATTTTAGCAAATTCTACAGTATTTTAAACACAAGCTTCTACAACATAAAATATATCAGTAATATCAAGTAAACTCATCAACTCACTAGTCCACTATTACAGATGTGTTGTGTTTACAATCATGCTCTTGCAAACTATTCTAACTCAACCTTTCAGGAAAATTGTTTTACTAAATAAAAACTAAGAGTTGTCGGAAGCTTAATGATGGTGATGCTGAAGTCATGTAGTTTGTTTATAGCCTTATTTTTTACTTTTGTATTTTGTTTGTATTTAGAATTTAAAAAAAAAATGTTTTTAAGGTGTGTTCATTAGTGAAGATTATCATGATGACCAAGATGTGTAAGAATCATAAACGTTTGTTGGTCACAGAACTCATTTTCTTCATTATTCTAAAATGGAAAATGTAAAAATCCTACTGGATTTTTGGTAAGAGAACCAGAGTGATGCAAACTTCCGGGTTGGCCTACAAAAATACGTCATCACAGAAGCACTCTATAGGGAACACAACTGTTTCAGACAAACCCTAGTGGGCTTCCTTGTTATAAATTGTCTACAAATCTGTTCCTAGTCCCCATATATTAAATACTATACCAGCATGACAATTACATTGTGAATACTGGCCCTACCAAAATGACTCCTAAACTCCAGAGGTCACAGGACTCATCGTAACCATCGTAGTTCAGGATTTCTGGTGCGGCGTACTGAAGAGTGAAGCAGGGAGTCTTCAGGAGCTGATTGTCGGGGGGTTTGAGCCGTGCAAAGCCAAAGTCAATAACTTTTATCTCTGAATTCTCAGTGTCGTCAGTAAAGAGCAAATTCTACGAAGAGAAAAGAGAAACTGAAGAACATCTCCATTACACAGTCAGAAAAATAAAACCTAAAGCAGTACATTCTCATTATTAGTTTACCAATATAAACATTTACTAATTCACTGATCTCCAAATTGAAACACAAGCAATATTGAGGAGCATAAACTTAATGCAGATTTTCTTGATAACATATCCTTAACTACGATGCAAACTGCACTTTGGGGCCCCTCGGCCTAGAGTCCGCTGTGACGTGGGTTGTACATCTACGATAATGACAGTGGATGTGTTGTGGCGTGCTGTACCTCTGGTTTGAGGTCCCTGTGCACCACGCCAACATCATGCATGTGGCTGACGGCAGACACTAGTCTGCGCATGATACGACTAGCCTCCGTCTCGCTGAAGTGCTGCTTCCTTCTGATCCTCTCCAGCAGCTCTCCACCTCGCAAGAGCTCCAGAACAAGATATGCATGTAGCTATACAAACACACAAACATAAATTCACCATATTAGAGAGCTCAAGTAATTCAGAGCCATGCTGCAGTGGTTTATCCATGTGATCCAGAAAGATTAATCCTTGGTGCTCATGTGAGCAATCCTGATCACATTTCTCCGCTCCTTCCAACAGTTTCCTGACACTTTCTACCAGGGTTGGAAATTAAGGGGGGTTTGCCACCAAAATGAACATATATAATATATATAATTGGCAAAAATTGCCCCTGTACAATTAAATTAAATCTATTACAACTGTCACAATTCAAGTATGAAAATGAATGAAAAGAGTTGATTGCAGTATTTCATTATGATCTGCTCACAATGCTTAAAACATCTAATTTACACATTTTTTGCACTATTAAGAATTATAACCAATCACACAGACACTTCTGTTGAGTGTATGAATGTGACGGCCAATCAGATGCATTCAGATTAGTCACCAGTAAACAAGAAATAATCAACAATTATAAACAACAAGTGCAGAATGTAAACGAGATTTACTTTGCAGCGCCGCTTCAAATCGAACACACCTAAGGTCTTCATAAATACAAGAAAGTTATAAGCAGGTGAGTTTGAATAAGATTGGAGCTAAAATTAGAGTTGAGAACCCCTGGCCTATAGTATAAACTGAAAAAATTGGTTAAATATAAGTATTTGACATAAAAAACACAGATACATTCAATGAGGTAATCATAAAAAGTACCCTTACAAAGGTAAAAAATCAAATGCAGATATATATGCAAATATTGCCCCTTAATATAAAAGTTAATTTCTGACCCTGCTTTCTACTATCATTCTGCCTAAGAGACTGCTAGAGGCAAGAGTCAAAATATAAAATTAGCGAGCACAAGGAAACACACCATTTGCAAGAATAACCACATGGAATGGTATATGATCGCAATAACACAAAACTGACAGATAGATATTATGAAGTGCAAAGCCTTCTATCCTGGCACAGATGTACATTTAATGACAGGTAGTCAGAGGGAATGATGCCTTTGAAGGACTGGAAAAAATCAGTTTGGCAAAGGTTCAGACTTAGGATGATTTTTAAAATGGGCTTCAGTCTCATTATACGCTGAATGAGTGTGAATAAGTGAACGGCAGAACAAGTGTTTGGGTGCTGTGTGGGGGTGGGATTAGATAGAAAAGAGTGTATGAGTGTGCAAGTGTGTGTGCACAGAAGAAAAAAAGAGAGGCAAATGAAAAAGAGCAAGCTAATGTCTCTCATTATCTCTGGTAAAGAGGAACAAAGACCCTGACCGGGCAGGGCGGCTCTGCTTTTCATCTGGGGCACGGCACTGGGTACAGAGCGTGGGGGTTGATAACCTCCAATTGGCAAATGGGCACGCACACACATACACACTTTCACAGATCTGAAGAGGAGCCCAACTGACTCTATCTTATATCATACTAATGAATAGAATTAAGGATCAGGATGTCTGGCACACACTGAAAAATACACACACACACATTAAACGCCTAAAGGCCTAATTAGCCCCCAGCAACAGTGATGATAAATAAATAAATATATATTTTTAAAGAAATTAATACTTTTATTCAGCAAGGATGCATTAAATTGATTAAAAGTGACAGTAAACACATTAATAACATTACAAAAGATTTAAAATTCAAAAGATTTTTATATAATAAATGCTGTTCGTTTGAACCTCTTCTCCAAAAAATCCTGAAAAAATGTATCATGCTATTCACAAAACATTAAGCAGCACAACTGTTTACAGCATTAATAAAAATGTTTCTTGAGCACCAAATAAGCATATTAGAATGATTTCTGAAGGATCACGGAGTAATGATGCAAAAAATTCAGCTTTGCCATCACATGAAAAAATTACATTTTAAAATATATGAAAACAAAAAACTTTTTTTAAAATTGTAATATATATATATATACAGTATATATTGTTTTAATTTTAAGCATTTAAAATCGAATTCATAATATGAGGTCATATTAATATTTACATAATTAATTCTGATTTGTCTTCTATCTTTCTTAGATTGGCATATTGTAATTGGTCTATTTTCTTCCAAACACAGCTGTCACAACAATGAGAAAACAGATTCCATTGTTTTGCTGCCTTGTGAGGACTTGTACTTCCTTTGGGAAATGTAAATCAGTTTTTTTCTTTAGGAAAAGAGACCTAGTACGCATATTAAAAAGTAAATAGAACCAATTTTTGTTGTGTAATGAAATCCAACATGGTGTTATTTTTACAGACCTGCGTTTCTCAAAAGTATTGTGAGCTAAGATGATTGTAGAGACCATTGGTGCCCAATGCTTCTACGATCTACTTAGGCTTACGATGCTTTTAAAAAAACGCATCCCAGTTAGTTTTAACCTTCTTTTGTGCTGCATCTGATAAAGACTGGATGGTAATTAAGATAAAGTACAATGAAAAGCAAGGGGAGGAATTAAATCTGGGGCAGGTGTGAGGACAAAGAGGGTTCAAACTTATTCAGACTAGCCCAGTTCTTTGAATGAATGAGGCTTTGATGTGCACAGGAGCTCTAGGTTCCAGTCTCAAACACTGTCATACCTGGTCATGGTAGATTTCATGTAGTTTGACTATGTTGGGGTGTCCGTCACAGAGTTTGAGAGCGGCAATCTCTTTCTGCGTTTGTGCCTCCATTCTGCAGAACAATAAATGAGCACAACAAATCACTTCCATGACTATTATATAATACAACTGAACTTTAAATACATAAAAAAATTATATTGTCAGGCTGCATAGTTAGTACCTTTTACTGACAATTTTTACAGCATATTTTTGTCCGGTCTTCTTGTGAGTGCATTGTCTGCAGATGGAGAAGCTTCCCTCTCCCAGAGCGTTCTCCCTCAGGTCCATCTCATAGTTCATGTAGAACGGCGAGTCCTATGGTCAGTTTGTCAGAAGTTTAGAGGTCAAGGAAAGGCGATGGCATTATTTACTTAAAGGGACCATATTCTACACCACATGTGTTAAAGTCCTAGTCATTGTCCTGCAGATTTTAGCTCCAACCAGCTCCAAAACACCTGCCTGGAAGTTTCTAGTAATCCTGAAGACCTTGATTAGCAGGTTCAGGTGTTTAATTAGGGTTGCAGCTAAACCCTGCAGGACAGAAGCCCTCCAGGAACTGAGTTTGACACCCCTGTTCTACACTTTTGTAGCATTTTATGTATTAGCCCAAAAATCAGCCTATAATGTTAATCAGGGTTTCTTGCACCAAAACAATTGTAATATACTTTCACATCACTCTCTGTCTGCCCCTTAGACTTAGACAGTTTTTTTGTTAGGGTACCTTGAACATTTATATATGTAAATGACCTCTGTTTTGATTGGCTAGCCTCCTTACTATGAGGGTGAATATCAAACTAACGTTCAAGTCAAGTAACCGTTAATGCGTAACTGTTGCAAATGTAGGAGGTCATGTGTTAATGTGCTTGTGGTTCTGAACGACCTGAATGATTTCTGAACGACCCATTTTGCAGCTTTATTTTGATAAATAATCAAGGGACTAGGCCCCTGTTTAAATCTGGTATTAAGATGCGTTTTGGTCGATCGGATCACAAGTAGCAGAGGGAGACACATTCACGTTTACACCTGTTTTGTAAACGTGTCAGTCTCTTTTGTCCACTTTTGACCTCTTCTGTCCTAATTTCTTCGAGGGGAGGGTACATGTTTGTATGTGTTTTTTTCACATCTTTCGATCTAATGGACGAAATGAGCTCAAGCATGATCTGTTAATAAAACATATGGACACTGACCCTGATGAATAGAATGAACGTAAAGCCTGCATGCAAATCCATCCCAGCTAACACACGATGTACCAGATAGGAAATTTATAAGTTCTTTTTGATAATTTCATGGCTTTCTAATTGACAACATAACCACGACGTTGCAAGCTCATAATTTGATTTGCTGTTTAAAGTGAAGTGATATACAGTGTGCGCAAGTGAGTATAAAGAGTATTAAGAGTATAATAGTATAACATCTGACAGGACAGTGTAGTTTGTTTTTCTGAAGTGTGAGACTTTTTAAGTTATGAAAATAATGTTAAAATAATGATACTGACAAATAGCCAGACAACATCTCATTTCAGAAGAGTGAACAGTTTTCATGCGTGCCTTTCAAAATAAAAGTCTTGCATCAGATAAACAATTATATTTTTTATTGTTGTAGTTTCTTTGACCCACTCAAAACAGTCTTGCCACCCGCCGGATGAGAAACGCTAGTGTATTGGTCTATCACTACCTAAAACCAATTTGCTGGTTTGGCCACTAGTGTTTTTGTAAAAATAATGAATGTTTCAAACAGGTTTCCCAAACATTTCACCCATTCTCCATTGGTCGGACTTTGTCGCGTTGGTCTAGCATATAAATGTTTACACTTTTTGGTGAAATCAACTAACGAATTGCTTTCTTACAGTTGTCTCTGCTTATTAAATTGGGATGGGAAGAAGTCATTTAAAATGAAAAAAAAAAAAAAATTATACACTCCAGCTTTAAATGTTGTAATGTTTTTACAACACAGCAATATGCAAACTGACCTTCATCATAGCGCTACGGGCAACAGCAGCAGAGCCCGGCCTCTCTGACCCGCCGCACAGCAAAGCCGAGTCGTCCATCACCGCATTCCTCTTAAAAAGGATGGAGGGAGCCATGAAGGAATAGCCCTGCAGATACAAACATCTATAAACACACTCACTGACAGAAGAGGTAACTAATGCAGAGGAAGTATCAGGGTCACTGAAGGAACTCTAACAGCACAGCCTTTTGCATTTCTGCAAATCCAACATGCTGAGGGACTCCAGTCACATTGTTTGCGACGACTGCATCATGTGCGCCCATCTAAATAAAGCCTCCGCCAGCCCATGTCCCACTTACGCGGCCAGACTGCAGCTGTGTGCTACATGGGCGGAAGAGTGGCTGGCTGGATGAGAGGATGGCTGGACGGAAGGATGAGGAGATGAATGGTTGAAATGCTTTTAATTGCTAAGCCAAGGTATTTGATTGCCCTGCTTTTCAAATTATCACAGTCCTCTAATGCAGCTTAATTTCAGTTTGTGAGGAGTTTGAGGGGGTGGCTGGGTTTATAAGCATGTGTGTGCGTGGTGGAGCGTTTCGAAAGTTATCATTGCAGACGTCGCTGCAATTGTACCGCCTGAGAATTATGAAGGATCAAAATTCCAGCGCACATGAAAGGCGAACGCTCAGAAAAGCCAAGATGAAGTTGGTAATCAAAGGTTGAAGGAGTAATTGAGCCAGACATGGTTGTTCTCGCAGACGCCGACCTTTTATTCCATGACAGAGCCGTTTAATGGCGGCATTGATCCGCCAGACTGAAGGATTCAGAAGGCAATCATAGACACCATCTCTTTCGCAGCCTCCCATTTCAGCTGGCATCATGCTATAGGCAACGTTATGGATCAAGCCGCATCAAAAATAGTCATTCACATCTGATGCTTGAAACCATCTCCATATCACCATAATTACATCTCCAAAAGAGCTCTAATTCATCTGAATACCAACACAGACAGCCGGGCTCACGTTGCATAAGTGATCATTATAAAGGCTGACTTGCCCATTTCCTCTTCAGTACTTCCTGCTTACTAATAATAAAGGGTTAACTGAACAATTATATCCTAACGCAACATCAAACGTCCACTCGTGTGCAGAAATTCATTCTCAGTGTCATAAATAAATGCTCAATGTGAATCAACATTGGTTTAGGTAAATCATCACACATTTGCCAACATTAGTGATTTCTGATGTATTGGCTTGGCAAAGGAATCACCTGACATTTTGGGATTATTCTGCTCACGCTGAAATATTTTTGAGTGAAAATTGATTATATTTGCAGAAGTTGTGGGTCGGTACGATTTTTTGAGACATTAACACTTTTAAGTAAGCATGCAATAAATTGAACAAAAGTGACAATGAAGACATTAATGATGTTACAACAAAATTCTGTTTCAAATAAATGCTGTTCTTTTGAACTTTTCTATTCATCAAAGAATCCAAACAAAAATGTATTATGGTTTACACAAAAACATTAAGCAGCACAACTGCTTTCAACATTGATGATAATAATAAAAAATGTTTCTTGAGCAGCAAATCAGCATATTAGAATGATTTCTGAAAGATCATGTGACACTGAAGACTGCTGAAAATTCAGCTTTGTCAATGAATAAATTATTTTTTTTGTTTTGTTTTTTAACTTTTCTTACTGTATTTTTGGTCAAATAAATGCAGCCTTGGTGAGCAAAGACCCCAAACCAAAGGACCCTAACCTTTTAAACAGTAGTGTATGTTCATATAATTTTAGCAATAATATTTGGTATAATTACTATTAAAAAAAATAATTTGTCAAATGCAAGTAAAAATTGCATTGGTGTGTAAATAAACTGCAACATTATCCATTAAATATTGCAAAGGGGTAGAATGAATAATAATAATAATAATATTTAAAATATTTACAAATGTTCACATTCACATTATTCACATATTATTTTTGGAACCCAGTCAACGTAAAAACTGATGAGAATTATTATAATCATTATTGTTGCTGAATATTGGAATATTGTGCAATATTAATACATTTCTGTCTTAAATTCCTCACTTTTACGCATCATGTTAGAGCAGCCCAACCTGCAAAGACCCAAAAATATATGCCATTACAGAATAGTTATTAAGTCCACTACCTGGAAGATGCGGTCACAGTTATTTGGAAGTGCCGCTGGAGAGTAGGTCGGGTCCATCTCCGTAAACTCCTCTGCAAAGTTGCTCACATCCAGCTCATCGCGAATTACAGGCTTAAAAGGAGCTTGGACCTTCTTAGCAGCTAAATCCTCCCAATTCATTTTCTGAAGCAACAAAAGTCAAACATTTTTTATGTTGGTCCCTCAAAGACTGAATGAACTTTAACAAGCCAAGGAAATGACAAGGGAAATAGAAGTACCGGTACTTCTCTTTTAAAATGAATTTTTGTGAAAAAAAACTCTTGCCTGGTAAAATGGATGGCTTTTCACATTCTGGGCCCCTGAGGGGCCAGAGCCCAGCCTCTTCTTTGGGTCTTTAATTAGCAGTCGCTGGATAATGTCTTTGGCCAGAGGCCCCATGTCTTTGGGGAATGGAGGATCCTTTTTCATAATTCTCCTATTGGGCAAAGAAAGAGAATTCATCAAAACCGTACCCTGCCTGCAGATTCGTATTTGAATTGTATTTTAAAAATAACTGCAGCTTTAAGTAGGTAATTTGATGCTATTTTGTAAACATGCTGATACAACCAAATGTTCAACTCATGATTTTGACTTGGACTTCTAGCTAATGAAAATGAAACTGGCCTAAACTTAACCACATAAAGGCGTTCAGAGAACAAGAACCAAAAAACAGTTTTTATTCAGAGCAAGTTCCACAAAAAAGTAACCATTTAAAAATGTTCATTTTCAGATCCGTTTAAGATCCATGCGCTTTCAGATCCATTTAAGTCCGATTTTTCAGTCCGACTCTTATCAGTCATCGAATTTCAGCATGTCCAATTCAACAAAAAAAAGATGTGTATGTAGGCTTATGATACTAAAATCAGTGTAGTTAACGGATTTCTTATTTTAGTAAGTGGTATTTTATCAAAATTAACAAATGAAATAAGTATATTTTTTATTTAGTTCAACAAAGAACTTAAAGAATTATTAATTGAACCAGAGTTGCTAAGAAGAATCACAATCATAATAATCAAAATAGTTACAGGGATAGTTCACCCAAAAAGGAAAGTTCTGTTATCATTTATTCCCCCTCAAGTTGTTCCAAACCCGTATTAATTTTTTCCTTCTGCTGAACACAAAAGAAGATATTTTAAAGTGCCCCTATTATGCTATTTTAAAGTTTCCTAATGTTGTTTTGGAGTCTCCTACAACAGGTTTACATGCATCAAAGTTTAAAAAAACTTTAATTTTATCATAATATACATTTGCACATCACCACATTTTCAATGATTCTCAAACGACTCGTCAGATTAATCAATCTCTCTAAATCCCTCCTCTCCGTGAGCTACTCTGCTCTGATTGGCCAGACAGCTCAGTCTGTTGTGATTGGTCTACTGTGTACAACGAGCGTGTCGAAAACAAAAACGCCCATTGCCATAACAACGTCAGCTTTGCTTGTCCTGAGGCTTCCTACACCGTAAACTAAACCCAGTAACGAACAATGACGTCGATTTTACCATATCAATCCGAGCGCGAGTCCGATGATGAAACATTGAAAGAACTATTCATTAAACCCGAACCTCCATTGCAAGGACGAGTCGAGCAGGACGTTTCTCAGTGATAGCCTACTTAGTTTGAGGTACATTATGAGATGTTGCAACTAATTCCTCACCATAAGCATTAAAAAATGCATGTCCATCAACAAACCGATTATTTTACTAATAGTATTTTTCTAATTTATTGCGGTGAACATGTAGAAACTGTATCAATAACAGTGCAGAAAAGCTCTAGCGTGAATGACTGATGTAACATAAACGTTGGTAAAACAAATCTTGCTCCATGCTTAATCTTTCCTCAAAGTAGTGAGAACGACAGACAATCTGAATTAATAGACAGTTTTAGCAGATTAGCAGAAGTATTTCAGTAATAATGTGAGTTAACCAGTTAGCAGGAGACCAACACAATATATAACTAAAAACTAAGCATTTTCAACACCATCTTGTCAAGAGCAAGCGGTTTGCAAATCCTGCATTGATCTCCGAGATTTGAGAAGCAGTCCTCAGTAAAAATAAAGGGAACACAGCAAAAGTTTAGGATTACACTGCTGTGATATCGATGTAAAGATGAATTGGCTTTACCTTCACATTGTAGAGCACAGGGTCTTCTCGACATGATGCTGTCCAGCATCCACAGGAATCAGCTGAAGTGTTTGAGGTTCAAGTTTTCCCTGGTGTCTGCGCGCGCAATAAGTGAGCGGGCAATATGCTAATGTTTCGTCTTGACGTCACAACAAAACGGCTTATGACTCGTTTGAAAAACGATTCATTTCATTGACTCAGAGTCGACTCTTACTTTTGAAAGACAATAACTTTATATACAGTGCACTTTCAGATTTAAAACGTTGCAGGATGTTTTCATTCACTTAGAGCTATGTTACACACTACATGAAAGGTCATTTTCAAAAATCCAAAATAGGGGCACTTTAAAAAATATGGGTAACCAAAAAATTGATGGACCCCATTGACTTCCATAGTATGAAAAATATATATATATATGAAAGTCAATGGGGTCCATCAATTGATTGGTTACTGACATTCTTACAAAATATCTTCCTCTGTGTTCAGCGGAAGAAAGAAATTCATACAGGTTTGGAACAACTTGAGGGTGACTAAATGTATTGGTGTACGTATGTGCTGGTCTTACTCTGCAATTTCAGAATGAGAGTTCTCATTGCCATCGACAGTGAAAGGAGAGCCTCCGGTCAACAGCTCATACATCAGAACTCCCATGCTCCACCAGTCCACCGCCTGCAGGAGAACATTGGTACATCACACTGGTTATATTCCCAACAGCACATTCAAATGTATGCTGGATCATTTAAATAAATGAATGAATGAATCACTGTTCAATAAACTCAAACTTAAAGCTGCTGTGTATCTTTTTTTTTTTTAAATTACTCATGTAATTAAAATGTGGTGAATGGATGGATGAGCAGTTCACTTTACCTTGTCATGTCCTGACTCTCCTCCCGCTACAATCTCAGGCGCCATGTACTCAATAGTGCCGCAGATGGAATAAGTCCTCTCCACCTACAAGACAAAAAAAGTGTTTATTTTACTGTTTGTAAAAACCTGTTTAAAAAAAAAAAAAACCTGTACTGTTTCTTTCAGTTTTAACGGTTGCCTTTTTATTTTTTTGGAAGTGTAGATAGAAATGAATGTGCTGTTTAGGGCTGGGTATCAGCAATTACACCATGTTACACCAAGTTATGATTCAATACATCATGAATGCGAAGGCGTTTACACAATTCAAAACACAAATTCTCATAAATCTACCATAAGCCAGTTATCTACTACAGTGGAAGCGTCATCTCACAATGTTCACTAACTATGGACAAATCAGTTTTGAACTCAAGGCAAAATTCACACAGAAAGAGAGATCATTTCTATTTACTACTTTTTCAAAACTGGCATCACTATATTAGGTGTTTTTAACTACTATAAACTAACATTTCAATTAATCATTTGATACAATGCACTTATTGAGTACACGTTTTTACATTGTACTTATATTTAAATAACACCAGCATATTTTGTAATTGCATCTATAATTACACTGTTGACCCTTCCCTTACCCCTAAACCCACCCTTAAACCTACCCATACTACCACACCTGTCCCTAATCTTACCCGTATCCCACCTCAATAGCAGCACAGGTTTTGCAATACAACATGGACACAATAAGTACATTGTACACATTTTTATGCAAGTAGTTAAAGATACCTAATATAAAGTGTAACCAGAAAAAAACGAACTAGTATAAACTATTTTTTCACACAAGTTTGGTCATGAGCTGGCATTGCTGTAACTGCCACAATTGTGTTCAGTTAGTTCTTGTTTTCACAGACTTTTAGTTTGTATTCATTAGTTCCTGTTGTCCTTTGTTCTATTTTCCCGCCACTCTTTTGTTGTCATGGTAATTCATCCATGTCCGGTCACGTTGGAGTTGAGTATATTTGCTGCTATCTTTTGGACTATTTCCCTGTGGATTATTATTAAAGTATTGTGTGAAACTTTATACATCAGTTTTGTCTTCTGTCTGTGCATACACTGCTGACAGTAACCGTCAGAAGTTATTGAAATATTTACACTACCGTTCCAAAGTTTAGGGTTGGCAAGATTTTTAAATGTCTCTTATGCTCACCAAGCATTTATTTGATCAAAAATATAGTAAAAACAGAAGTGTTGTGTTGCTTACTATTTGAATAGATTTTAAAATATAATTTATTCCTGTAATGGCAAAGCTGAAATTTCAGCATCATTACTCCAGTCTTCAGTGTCACATGATCCTTTAGAAATCATGCTAGTAAATTATGCTAATTTAATGCTCAAGAAAAAATATTATTATCAATTTTGAAAACAGTTCAACAGTTTAATATTTCTTTAATGACTAGAAAGTTCAAACGAACAGCATTCATTTAAAACAGTAACATTATAAATGTCTTTACTGTCACATTTGATCAATTAAATGTGTCCTTGCTAAATAAAAAAAGTATTAATTTCTTACAAAAAGACAATCTTACTGACCCCAAACTTTTGAGTGTATCATTTCATATTAGTCTGTTTCCTAGTACACTTCAATTGCAACATAGTCTTTCAAAAGTTAAAAATACAATTAAATGTAAACCTAGACATCGAAACAAGATTCTTCAGTCTAGAATGATTCATTACTGCACTTAGATGGCGTTGTGTCTAAGACTAAACGCACCATCTGTGCTTTCTAAATTGGGCAAAACTGCTTTCTGAATTATGCGGTATTATGGAATGAAATACATGAAAACATCTGGAACAATCTTCTTTAATATCCTATGAGCATTTAACAATCTTGCCACATTTGAATACCGATACAAGCACATGGCTTTTATAATTAAAAGTTCCTGAGTACATTTATTAATTGCTTTTATTTTTATGCATCTCATAATCAGCATATTTCTGCCGGAAGAATTTACTCGTTTTATGTGTGCTAGTTTAAATGTACGCTATAAAGTCTTAATAGTCGCAGGCGTGTTTTCAAACCACACTCATAAAATAAATTCTGGCTGAAATGGGTTATTAGCTGGTACAACAAAGGTCAAAATGAGAAAAACAAAAAGTTAATATAATCTTTTATAATAAAGAGCACAATCATAACATGCATGATAAGCGATTACAGCATTGAGTAAACAGCCTTGCGCTATAATTGCATCCATGGGACGGCGGAAGGTTCATCGTGAGCTACTGAAACGTCAAACAGAACATCTCTGACAGAGCAGGACAGCCAGGACCTGCATGTGCAGGATATTGGGTGGTCCCCGGGAATAAACAATCATTTGTTAGCTAAGAAATAGCTAAGAATTTGTCAGCTCTTCTCATGGATGAATGTCAAAACCCCAGACAACGATGCAACAATAAGAACTCTCTCAATACAGATCTATCAACATTTAACACAAATTTTGAAGAGTAAAAGTCTGGCCGTTTTTAATAAGGAATAGTTTAAAGGGACATTTTAAAGGTAGACTATGTATTTAAAGGGGTGGTATAATGCCCTTTTCACAAGATGTAAAATAAATCTCTGATGTCCCCAGAGTGTGTATGTGAAGTTTTAGCTCAAAATACCCCACAGATATTTTTATATAGCATGTTAAAGTTGTCACTTTTTGAGGGTTAGCAAAAACGCACCGTTTTGTGTCTGCCCCTTTAAATGCAAATGAGCTGCAGCTCCCGACACAGTGGGCGGAGCTTCAAAAGTGTGTGTTAGCAGCTTCGATCACCTCACGCAGACACACGCTAAAATGTCAGAAACTGTTCTGCCTTTTATGTTTAAACCGGAGTCAGACAAAGATGGAGAGACTAAGAAGAAGTGACAACATGTAGAATGCAACAGGACATCTCTAAATGGTTAGTTGATGAATTTATGTTGCTGATGTGGAGTTAACTATCTTCAATTAGCATATTCTGTCAGGATAATCTATAAATCGCTTGTATAGGAACTGTTGTGAGATGCACACAGAGCGACTTTCTATTGCATGTGAAAAGACGGATGCTACAGCTTGAGCAGACTCACAAATGTGCTCGACTACAACAACTCTTCCTCTTCTCAACATGGTGTTCCTGGGGGCGGGTTTTATGTAAATTTTAGGGTTAGTGATGTCACTAACCCGGGAGGAAGCTCGTGTAGTTCTCCTACCAGCCGTTTGCTGTAGTCCTTAAAGAACGATTTCTTTAAAGGCAAAAATATATCCCTTTGCTTTGAACTTTGAGCATTGTAACTTTGCAGATGTTGTTTATGCTCAAACAGCAACATTACACACTAACTAAAGTTAGAAAAGTGAAATCATAATCAACCACCGCTTTAAATAATGAGTCAATATCATCAATCCTTCTTCCAAAACATGTTTTTGTGTTACTCTGATTCACTATGTTAAGCCTGTTATAATTGTTTGTATTTTAGACCTGACAGGATGGTTTGTTTTCACTGGAAATTGCGTGCATGCATCACTCACCCGTGTGTGTCTTGTCATATCCCTAAATAGAGAAAAGTTGCTCCAGCTACTCTGACATGGTGTGGGAGTGGCTGGCATAGGCTAGTTGTCACAATGAGCATGAAAGATTGACATGGAGCAGCTAAACCTCCAACCTCCAGGGAATCTCACATTAAAAAAAGAAAACGCTGAACAGAGGAGAGTCTGCTGGCAAAAAGAGAATGTGACAGAGCTCATAATAAAACAAGAATCAACATTTGCTTGGATTTTTAAGAACTGAGGGATTTAAAATGTTGTAAAAGTGGAGATGGTGTTTTTGTTACTCAAAAGGTGAGTATATTGAACAGATAAATGGCCATAACAGAGTTAATTGTAAATCATTATCTATTGTGGAAGGGTCATTTCATTAAGTACCGTGTCTATTAATGGGTAAAGCTACAGTAACATCTTCAGCTAGTCAGCTTGAGATCCTTTCCATCTAAACTGGTAATATTTCTTAAGCCTAGTGAATGTTGTATGAGTAGTAGTATAATCTCTCTCTTTTTTTTGTTATGAGAAAGAACCGTCTTCATCTGCACAGTCACGCAGAGCCAAAGCACAACCAAAACAATATTCTTTCACAAAATGCATGTATGGTTACATAGTGTACCTTTAATGTTTTTATATAAATCCACTCTTTTCAAGCATCCTTGAAAGTTTGAGTACTGAGATGTTCCAAATGTCATGACAACAACAGCTGTGAAATATTAAACACTTGTTGGCCCGTCTAGTTAAATAATTTGTTTTTACCCTTTCAGTTGTTCTCAAACTGGCATGTCACTCTAACATAATGTTCCAGTAAAAAAACTTTATTTTTGGACAAACCCAGATGGGCAACCATCTGAGCAGAAACACCCCATGCAACAAGTTCAACGGGTTAGAATGGGTCATGTAACACTGAAGACTGGAGTAATGATGCTGAAATTCTGCTTTGTCATCACAGGAATAAACATTTTAAATATATAAAAATAGAAAACATCTATTTTAAATAGAAGTAATATTTCACAATATATACTTATATTTAAGTAATATTTAGGCTGTGTCAGGATGGTAGTTCTTGAAGCAGTGGGTGAAATCAGTGCTTGTCTTTTTTTCTCTCTGGCTGTGCACAAATGATAACCTTTCATGTATGTGATACACTTTTACTTATAAAGCTTATTTGGCATTTTTGTCCTTGGCTGGACAGCAACTTATCTGATGGCTCCCACATATGTTTGTTTGCGCAGGGTGAGCACATGGTTTTGTGGCAGATCCGCCTAACAAGCAGTTTTGCACACCGCACGGCACTTATCTGTATCTGTGATGTTCTGCCCTGCCTCCGAGCATGCTTTTCAATAACCACAATTATAAATTATTTGATCCAGAATTGTATGAAAAATAATTCTATGAACTAGGAAGATGCAGTCTTTATCTCGTGAATTAATCAGCACTGTGTATTTCTGCACATTATTTCTCTCAGTTTCACTTCCATACTGAAGAAAGTGCATATGCAGACAGACTTATAATTGAAACGTTGAAAACGTTTTAATCTCCCTTCAAGTGAAGTTTAGAGGGAACATTGTACTTTAGAGATGCACAATATATTGATAGGTTATTACCTGATATTGTGTGTGTGTGTGATTTTTTTTCTACCTTTGCCATTACCTAATGCCCATTTAAATTGAATCTTTAAAAACACTAATAATTTATTTTAACGACACTACTAAATGTAATTTTTAACAAATACAGAACATTATAATGCTGTTTTGCCTAAATTCACCTGTAGCATTGAAACAATTGATTTCAGTTTATTTTTAAGACAAAATAGTATAGATTTATAATATTTGCCATTTATTGGTTATTGGTCATAACGTGACAAGCATTATCAGCTTATCAGTACCTGACAGAATTTTAAAATGCATAATGTTTTTGAACAAACACAGTGATTTTGATGATTTATTTGTTAATAAAATTTGGAGAACTGCTAAGAATCCAAAATGCAAAACGAGTTTCTGAAAAGAAAAAACAATATATAAAGACAAACTCACCTCATGAAATTCCTTACTAAGGCCAAAATCCGTCAGCACAATGTGACCGTTTGAATCAAGAAGTATATTCTCAAGTTTTAGATCTCTGTAGACGATTCCTAGCTGGAAAACAAACAGAACCGAATAAGGTCTTATGTTTAGATGTGAGACCAAATACTTCAATTTAATGTCATCATTCATTACTTCTTTTTTCGTCCTTGCGAAAATCAGTTGTTCAACTGCTGAGTTTACAACCTCAACTTGTCTGGGGTCATAAAATGCAGCCATTCACCTGGAAAATGTACTGCTACTTTAATAAATAATAAATGGCAACATAATAGGAAATGACAAAAAATGAGACTGAACCAAAACAAAGTTAATCTCACTGTCATGGTCCTTTCTACAAACTCTGTAATCGCCCCCCGGGTAACTGAATAATGGCTGCTGTGCACAGAACAAGCATGCATTAAAAACACTTCTCTTCCTCTTTCTGTAAACACAGCATTCGAGAAATTTTGAGCACTGCAGATACATGCGGCCTGGCCTGGTTATCTGAGTGAGGAATTGATCTGAGTAGGCAGGAGAGAGAAGTACCTCCTCCTGAGTAAAGGAAGGAACTTCTTTTACTACTCCCTCGAAATGAGGCACCGTTCAGTCAGATTGCAAAGGAAATGAAGAGTGAAAATAAGTGTGCAATTTTACCTTATGCAAGTGCTCCAGTGCTAGTACAATCTCCCCACTGTACAAGGTAACCTCTTGCTCTTTAAAGCGAACCCTTTGGACCAAGTGTGTGAAGAGCTCACCTCCATTCACGTAGTCTATGATTTAAGATATAGAAAACAAAATTGTAACTGGTTAATGATAGTTTTATATTTCAAATGCACCTGGTATTGTGCAGTAACTGCAAAATCCTGCTTTCATGCCGACATCGGTTCCATGCAATACCACAAAAGCCAAGAGTTTCAGTAGTGGTATACAGGCTTTACTTCTGCTTTTCATTATTATAGCAAATCAACTGTGTTACAATTCACAGGGTCACAGGAAGTAAACTGTTATCTACACACTCAGAATAGATAAAAGTTCAGTTTGGAATGCCCTTCAGCTCATCAAACAACACTTGAGTCACACAGATATGGTATATTTCACTCAAATAATTAATTAAAATAAATGTAAATAGATTAAATGGTACAGTTCAAATGGGCGACAGTAAGATTTATTTTTTAAAGAAATTACTTATTTTATTCAATAAGGATGTATTAAATTGTTCAAAGGATCATCTGAAAAAGACTGGAGTAATGATGCTGAAAATTCAGCTTTGCATCACAGGAATAAATTACATTTTAAAATAAATTAAAATAAAAAAAAAGTTATTTTAAAGGGGTCATATAATGGTACATGCACTTTTACAAGTTGATTGTACTGAAATGTGTGTTGGCAGTGCCTGTACACAACCATCATATAATGATAAAAATCCATCCAGTGGTTTTGTTTTAATCTCCTTATATGTTTTCCCCTGTCTCAAATCAAGCCGTTCGACCGTGTGACGTCACACGGTCGGACGCCCCTCCCGCGATTGTTGATTGACAGAAGGGTTTCAACACAGACCCGCCCTCGCTCGTGAGCGAGCTGTCAATCATAGTCCGCGCGGCGCGGACCGGCGCGGTCATTGTTGATATGCTGGAGCACTGTCTATGAGCAGAATGGCGTCTAAGCGATTGTGGTGTTCTGTTCTTGGGTGTCATAACGAACACAGCAGTCATTTTAATGTTCCTAAATCCGAACCGCCTAAGACGCAGTGGCTGAGTTTGTTTTCGAAGGGAATATTTCCCACGAGCAACGTCAATGCTCTCATGTTTGCGCGAATCATTTCACACACAAGACTGCTTTATAAACGAGGAGGTATAAAGCTGGTTTTGCTAAGAAGCTGCTTCTGAAAGGATCGGTACCATCTATTCGTGTGCCTGCAGCTGCTCCAGAAGAACTGAAGTGAGTGTAACGTTTTATTAAACTTTATATTAATATTTATATTAATCCTTGTAAATCGCTAGCTGCACGCTTCACAATGAATGCGTCTAAGGTTTACACTCAGGGTACATTACGGCATGTTTTCTATGTATGACGTTCTCAATATAATTCATAATCCCACGTTTATACTGAACAACGTGTTATGGTTATTGTGTTATTGTGTTACAAACGGTGTACGCCAGAGCCGGCTCTGGTGTACGCATAGAACAGAGAGGCGGAGTCAGCAAAGCTCATGATCATTTAAAGTCATATGCACTGAAACGGCGTGCTGAAAACAGAGCTGTTTTTTACCAGGTAAAATAAGTGTTTTCTTACAATACTAATGAGAATTTTGAATTAAAGTATATTACAAACTTTTAATTTAGACCCTAAAGAATCATATTAGCTTGTACAAAAATGGCATTATATGACCCCTTTAAATTGTAATAGCATTTCACAATATTATTGTTTTTAGCTATTTTTGATCAAATAAATGCAGGTTTGGTGAACACAGACACTTCTTTCAAAAACCTTACTGCTTTCAAATTTCTGTACAGTAGTGTATGTGTATTTATATAAAAATATAAATATAATATTATATATTTATTAAAAAAATTACAAACTTGAATCCCTGAATTTTGTCAAATAAATAAATAAAATACTGCTACGATGTTAATAATATTTATAATACGTATACACTCACCGGCCACTTTATTAGGTACACCTGTCCAACTGCTCGTTAACACTTAATTTCTAAGCAGCCAATCACATGGCGGCAACTCAGTGCATTTAGGCATGTAGACATGGTCAAGACAATCTCCTGCAGTTCAAACCGAGCATCAGTATGGGGAAGAAAGGTGATTTGAGTGACTTTGAACGTGGCATGATTGTTGGTGCCAGAAGGGCTGGTCTGAGTATTTCAGAAACTGCTAATCTACTGGGATTTTCACGCACAACCATCTCTAGGGTTTACAGAGAATGGTCCGAAAAAGAAAAAACATCCAGTGAGCGGCAGTTCTGTGGGCGGAAATGCCTTGTTGATGCCAGAGGTCAGAGGAGAATGGCCAGACTGGTTCGAGCTGATAGAAGGGCAACAGTGACTGAAATAACCACTCGTTACAACCGAGGTATGCAGCAAAGCATTTGTGAAGCCACAACACGCACAACCTTGAGGCGGATGGGCTACAACAGCAGAAGACTCCACCGGGTACCACTCATCTCCACTACAAATAGGAAAAAGAGGCTACAATTTGCAAGAGCTCACCAAAATTGAACAGTTGAAGACTGGAAAAATGTTGCCTGGTCTGATGAGTCTCGATTTCTGTTGAGACATTCAGATGTTAGAGTCAGAATTTGGCGTAAACAGAATGAGAACATGGAACCATCATGCCTTGTTACCACTGTGCAGGCTGGTGGTGGTGGTGTAATGGTGTGGGGGATGTTTTCCTGGCACACTTTAGGCCCCTTAGTGCCAATTGGGCATCGTTTAAATGCCACGGCCTACCTGAGCATTGTTTCTGACCATGTCCATCCCTTTATGGCCACCATGTACCCATCCTCTGATGGCTACTTCCACCATGTCACAAAGCTCTAATCATTTCAAATTGGTTTCTTGAACATGACAATGAGTTCACTGTACTAAAATGGCCTCCACAGTCACCAGATCTCAACCCAATAGAGCATCTTTGGGATGTGGTGGAACGGGAGATTCGCATCATGGATGTGCAGCCGACAAATCTGCGGCAACTGTGTGATGCCATCATGTCAATATGGACCAAACTCCCTGAGGAATGCTTCCAGCACCTTGTTGAATCTATGCCACGAAGAATTGAGGCAGTTCTGAAGGCAAAAGGGGGTCCAACCCGTTACTAGCATGGGGTACCTAATAAAGTGGCCGGTGAGTGTATATTCTTAACTGTTATAACAGATGGACATTGTAATAATGGTTTTCAAACAGTCACATATCTGGTGCACTTTATACCCTCCCTCGTATTGCTCAGTAAATCACTTCTGAGGTTAATTAAGCTGGATACAAATGCCTGAGGTTGTGCACAATGACTGATGGGTACATTTCCATGCCCACTTCCTGTGAAGTGAGATATCAGTGTAGACTTGCTCACTAAGCTATTTGCAGTCAGACTGACTAAATGCTTCTAATGACTGAATCACACTTGATGGCCAAATACCCTATAAAGTCCACTTCGTAGAGCACTATTAGACACTGGAACGTACCCATAGTTCACTGTAACAATACTGGTGACCAATGCAGAGCAAAAGTTCAGCTGAACAGATTGCACTCTTTTAAATGCAAAAGAAAAATCGAAGCATTTTTAAAAATCCACACGGGAGAGAGGAGAGAGAGCGTCAACGTACCTAGAATGAGATGCAGTTTGGTGTCTGTCTGGAAGGCATAATGGAGTGTAACCAGGAAAGGAGACTGTCTGATATGCTCGAGGACCTGTCTCTCCGTGCGTGTGTGTTCTGCCGTCTTCGCCTTCTGCACAATAGTGGCCTTTTTCAGCACCTTCATGGCATACAGCTTACACGAATCATGGCCGCTCACCTTACGAACTAAGAACACCTTGCCGTAGGCTGCCCGGAGGAGGAGAGCGATTTGTTAGCGGAGTAGGAACAAAGATAAGCAGAGAACACAGGGTTCGCATACTTGAACTACCACTGACCTCCTGTTCCCAGCACTTTCAGCAGCTCAAAGTTCTCAATGCCCACACGCTCCACGTGACCAGTCAGATTGGCTGGGGAAAGATTTAAACACATCCATCAGGTCACGCAGCCAAGAAATCGTGTTTTTCACTTGGATATCATACAAGGAAACCTCCCGTAAACCTTCACAACTTCGGTTATTGAACCCTTGCCACTTTCTCACAACAGTGAGAAAAGAAAATATGTTCAAAATGGCCAACTCTTGGGACAAGCCTGCAGCTGTTTGTAAATACAGTGTGTTGCTTATAAACAGGTCCAGATGGAATCTGCAGACTTTAATATGCATTTTCTGCACTGACTATAAATATTTAAACATGGTATAATATGACGTGGCAGCTGAAAGCATTATGAAATTAGGCAAACATAATGTAATACACTACTGTTTGGGCTAAATACGATTTTTTTGTTACACTTTATTTTAAGGTGTCCACGTTACAGTGTAATTATACATTTAAGTACTGAGTAATAGGAATGAACTTCATGTACTTACTATAGGGTTGGGTTTAGCATTAGGGTTTGGTTTAGGGTTAGTTGCGTGTAATTATGCATAATGTAAAGTTATTACTATAGTATACATGTAACATGTGAAACAAAGGAAACTGAAATAAAGTGTTACTGATTTTTTAAAAACAAAATAATACTTTTATTCTGCAAGGGTCCATTAAATGTATCAAAAGTGACAGAAAAGATTTGTTTAAACTTTCTATTCATCAAGAAATCCTGGAAAAATGCATCACAGTTTCCAAAAAAAATAAAAAATTAAGCAGCACAACTATTATCAACATTGATAATAATAAGAAATGTTTCTTAAGCAGCAAATCAGCACATTAGAATGATTTCTGAAGGATCATGTGACACTGAAGATGCTGAAAATTCAGCTTTGCATCACAGGAATAAATCACATTTTTAAATATATTAAAATAGAACACATTTACTTTAAACTGTTATAATATTTCACAATAACTGTATTTTTAATCAAATAAATGCAGTTTTAGTGAGCATAAGAGGCCGACACCAAACTTTTGAATGGTAATGTAAATAAACAAGAGCCAGACCTATGAATTAAAGGCACTTGAATTCTGCAGAAATCTGAGTTTTGCATGCACTGATTCTTTGTAGGCCTGCTCATAAATAAAGAAGAGCTTGATGATTCAGAGGAAACAAAACAGCCTTCATGAATGAGCATGGAAGAACGTGAGCATGTGCGTGGGATATGTTTACACGTTAGCTGGGGCTGAAGTGAAGTCGCTTGTTTTATGCAGTAGATTGCTCAGCGAGGTGAATGCATTCCTGCTGTTATCCTCACTCACAGCAGCACTGCATCTCACGCAAAACTGCAATCTTTCTCTGCCTTTGCAAATTATCTGATTTTAGATGGAAAAAAACTAATAACATTACCACATCCTCTGACTGGATATCAAGCAGCATGTTTAAAGTGTGTGTAGCCCCCTTTGAAACCACCCTAGAGGCCCATGGGAACCACAATGTTTATAAGCTTCCAGACCCTGACTTTCTCCACTCAGGATCCGAAGGCTTTAATGGAGAGAATTTGGTCCCTATTGCGCTTTCTTAGATGAGCGACTTCTTGTCTTTAGCCGTTGAAAGTAGTTGAAAAACCCATTTTTATGATATAATACAGAAGTCAAAACAGACCTTTAGACAGGAGATCTTCAGTGTCAGGGTTGCACAGTAAATGGTCAAATGATAGTTACCGTACAGGCGATTTCTATGGATATAGGGTACAAAATTGGGCCTGAAACTCTTTAAAAAATGGTCAGTGAAAAGAGGTTGTTAACCTTCAGAAAATACCGATTAAACAAAATTTTTGTCATGCTGAAGTAAAAGACAAAAAGAAATCACAGGGGTCAACTTTAAGACATGTTGTATTTTCTGAAATTGCGATGCAGGCTTGTGCTGAAAATGTGGACCAAAGATAAATCTTTGGGGGTTTTTGCCATTTAAATTAGTTAAGAATTAAAAAAAAAAAAAAAAAATGTACTACAATTAATTGTTGATTGAATTCAATAGATGGTTCAAAATATATTACTTTGAATTATTATACACTGCCCAGCCAAAAAAAAGTCGCTGTTTGGATTATATGCAAATGCTTAAGAGTCTATTATTATTGGATCACTGTTGCAGTGATTAGCATGCTATATGATGATAATAACATCACAACATGTATTTCCATCAACAGGTGCATCATTTTAGGTCAAGATTTTGTACTGACAATGCAAAAGTCAAGCACTCGTTAAAGTCTACTTCAATACATCCCAAAGACTTTCAATGAATTTAGGTCTGGACTCAGAGGTGCCAATTCATGTTTGAAAATGATTATTCATGCTCCCTCACAACCATTCTTTCACAATTTGAGCCTGATGAATCTTAATATTGTCATCCTGGCCATGATGTGTCTTCCTACATGGTTGTTTAAGAAATGAAAAGCTACACACTCCATCAATTAGGGTCAGAAGAACTGTTTCCAAGCATGCTAGAAACATAATAATCACTGTAATAATGACTCAGTCACAGTCTCTAAAGCTTTGCCTATTTAAATTCAAACAGCAAATTTTGTTTTCTTTGTTTTCTTTCTTTTTTCTTTTTTGGCCAGGCAGATACAGTTAGTAAAAAGTATAACTTTTTGTTACAAAAATTTGGAACATGTCAAAATACAGTTTAACAAATATTGGTTGCTCATTTTTTCTTACAATAACTTGGGTAACAGGGTGCAACTGTTTAGGTTAATGAATGTACTGTAGTCAAAAAAAATTGAAGATGGAATGAGATTGCAGTGCCTGTAAAAAGTAACGAGACAACAAAATACTGTACCGTACCATAAGTTACTGATATTATGTGCCTGCAAAGCATTTGTACCAAGTTTACTAACACAGGCAAGTGAGGACACACACCTGGTCACTTCATTTACTATACAAAGACATCATCGGGGCCCTAGAGATTAAATTAGCTCCAGTAATTGGGTTGCTTTGGACTCGAGTCCATGTCATGACTGAGACACTAATTAAAGCGCTGATACATAATGAATGCAATTCATTCCATACAATACAATACTTCCCTTCTAATGTCAATCTAATTTATTACTAATGTTTCTCAGCTTCAAACACGACACGCACTGAAAATGCAAGTGCACTTCTGCGGTTATGAATGTGAAATATTGCACATGTAGAACATCCTCCAACCTCAAAGCACCACATTTGTGATGATACAGATATCAATATATAATATAGGCTGCTAATAGCACTTAATGCATTTACACTAGCCGACCAGCTAACATTAAAGCTGTCTCTTCCATTATACAACGAAAACACTAGGCTACAGTCCAAGATATATAAGCGCTGTTTCTTAAAAACAAGCGTAGGACGGACTGCCCGGCGTTCATTTACCGTTTCTGAGTTCGTGTTTGACGGTAAACAGGTCACCTTCCTCCGACGAGCCCTCCATCGTAGACGGCATTACTCGCGTGAACGGAGCGCACACTCTTTCCTCAGCTCGCTGCGCGACACTAATGCAAAATACTACAGGAGAGACTATCACAGCAGGATTACATAAACGGAGTTGTTGCAGTAAAGCAACCTTTGGGAAAATAATGCAAATGACAAGAACTGCATTCTCGTGGGAAGGACAGTGGGGCTGTAAATACTACAGCTACACTAACAGAGATACATTACACACACACACACACGCCGAGCACCATTAGACACGCCCACTGGAGCTGTTGGGAGAAATACTTCTGCTCTATTGGACCGCCCGACTGTCACTCACCGCCCATCGTACAGTTCTACTTTAATATGTATAACAACAATGTAACAGATACATTACATTTTATTATTGTTAAAGAATAAATATTAATAAATAATTATACAAAAAGAGATTAGATATATATAAAAAAAAATAAAAAAATAATAATATAATGATTAAAATGAAATAAGGCCCGGTTTCACAGACAGGGCTTAGATTAAGCCAGGATTAGGCCTTAATTCAATTAAGTCGCTTTTATAAATATGCCTTAGAAGAAAAAAAAACATTACTGTGTGAATCTTGAGACAAAACAATGGCACTGACATTAAGATATCTCAGTGCAAGTTGCTTTCAGTTAAAACAGCTCAAACATGCATTTTTGTCTGGAACTAGGCTTAAACCTTGTCTGTGAAATATATCTGGGTATAAATAGTCTGGGTCTGGGTATATATAGTGAATATTATCAAAACCATTACCCTAGAAGTTAATGGGAGAACTCAGTCTATAGTTCTTGCAGGAATTTATTATCTTTAGTTAATTTTGAAAGGGTGCTAACATAGTGCCTTAAGTATCTTTTCACTTTTACAGTGTATTAAATTATATATTTTTTAATAATCAAGTTTTTTCCCAGGCAGTTTAGTAGTGTATTAGAATGCTGTGATATAATGAGCACTTAAATTGACCTTCTACTATTTCTACTCTGTTGTGTGTGCGTGAGTTTGAAGTATTTTATTTTATTTATTTATTTTTTGTGCATACTGTGATTGGTAAAGGGCGCCTGAGGCTCAGGCTGTACTGAGAGAAAAGTGCAGGTTTATAATTTCTCAGGGGGAAGGGAAGCCTGTGTCCTCATTTTGACAAGCAAAGGCCTGCATTTCTATTATGTGGACCTTCAAGTTAATTTCTATAGTGCAATGGGAAACACCCAGTGTACTTCCAGTATTTATTGTAATCTGCCCACACACAGTTATAGATATAGTTACAATGTAAATATTCCCTAAACATATTGATTTAGATGTTTACACAATGTACGGATAAGAAGTTGTAACCAAACAGACATGAGGGAGACACACCTGTGCATGCAGTGCAAACAAGCAGAGCTTGTGTACTCTTATGACTATTCTTAATGTTTGTCCATGGTCTACCTCAGGGATAATGGTTCTATTAAAGGGTTTCCAGTTTTCCATATGGCAATAATTGTCTCCTGTTTTGTTTACTACACAGGTTGTTCCTTTTGGTTATACTATATTGTCTTCATAACATTCTAAACAGATGGCTTTCATGGCTATATGGAGTAACAGCATTGTTATTTTTTCCAGCATAGGCTATAACTGTTCTGTTTATAGTCAGAATTACCACTTTTGAGAAACGATCGAGTTAAATTTAACTCCAAAAGAATTAACACTTACAAATTTAGTGTTTATAGGTTTTTAGAGCATGCATTGTTTGACTTATGAGTAAAATAACATGAACTTGAAGAAAAGGTTAACATTACTTGAAGAGACTGTCAGGTAATAACAACTTGCTAAATATAAACTATGTTTTAGATAATTTACAATGTTAAACTGTAATGTAAACCTCAGATCTGATTTTAATTAAGGAATCCGTGATGAATTAGTCTTATGGTTTGGCTTACAAATCATAACTTAATATCTCAATTGTTCTAAATACAGTGATTTAATGGATCTTTTTAAGGGTAAACAGTAAACATCAATTTTCACAAAAGAAAATGAGGCTAGATGTACAGGTTGTTTAAGGTTGTTATAGAACATCTGTTTGTCATAATGATAGACATCCAGGTACAAAACAGGTGTGTGGAATAATTAAAAATGGCTCTGAAGGTCTGTAGGGCACACCATGTTGCCTAACAAAAAGAAAAATTTCAAAAAAACACATCAAGCCTTTTTCCCCATTAGATGCCAGAAAAGCTCCACTGATACACACATTGGATTTGTGATTTGCAGTACAGTAGAGTTTTTATCTCTCAAATATTACATGCATGCATACACACGCATTTTTTTTAATTACACACATACAAACCATACTCTGACATCCATACCAACACACCCACACAATATAGCTGCATAATTTATCCAATTGGCTCTATAATACGCAATGCAATGCAAAAATAAATAAATAATAAAAACAGGAATAAAACAGGAATTTGCTTTATAGGCCAAACCATTTTGAAGCCTTGCCAACAGAATGAAAGCCTAACAAAGACTGCATCATTTTATAGTTAAATGGACCAGGGATTAAAGTTTTTGATTTATTAAAGGAAATGGGGGTGAAATAGTACAATTTCAATAGAAATACACACTTGTGCCAAAATGTATGCAGTTGGCATTAACACAGGCAAATTGATAAAAAAAAAACCCTGAAAAACAAAACAAACCCATACAGGGGTTAGAAGAGTTACAAACAAGTTTTACCAACAAAAAGAAAACAATCTGTAGACGGTGGGCCGAGGGCCCATATCTGCTTTACTTTTTTTTTTAAAATGGATGATCCAGGCCCTCGGCTCACTGTCTACAGGGGTTAGAAGAGTTACAAACCAGTTTTACCAACAAAAAGAAAACAATCTGTATCTTAAAGTTAAATGTTTCTGTAGGCCTATATTTGTTTAGAGAACAATTGATTTGTGTATGTATATCCTATATACTGTGTATACACACACACATATAAAATGTTTTTAAACCAATAAAGGCCTGCAGAAACATTTAACTAAGATTTAAAAAAAAAAAATTAAGACCCTCTCTGAAAAAGTTTTACTCAGTAATCAAATGGAAGGTACAAACCAACGCAAGTGTTCTCTGAACTTTTATTTTGAAGTACTGGCAATGTCTTCAGTGTTGTTGAGGTTTGCGCGCGTTGTACTGCTCAGCCAATCCCGCCCCTGACAAGAGGCACGTCACTCTCATGATACTCCGAGAAGAATGGCGGCTCTTTTGGAATCGTTACTGCACAGTAAAGTGGAGTTAAGCGAGACTCTGCTCTGGCTCAAAGGACAACGCGTAAGAGTTTACACTGCGCTCTCTCTCTAAATGCTGTGTTTTTTCACTGTCACTGCGTAGCGGAGTGTATGGGTGATTGGTTTCCTGAAATTCAGTCAGCTAATCTATAGCTACGTTAGCAAACAACCATTAAAGAGTCGCTTTATTTTATATGTGGGTATTTACCGTTCTGTTTATAAGTTAAATTTAAGTTTTACATTTGGATGGTAACTGTTAACGCCACAAAACATTTTCGAGCAATAAAAGAGAACGTTGTCATCATCAAGTGTCTTTTTGGTGGGATTTCTGGGAAATTACATAACTTATATGTTTTGGGGAATGTAAATATTTCATAAATTAGCTGTAACGTTACCTTTCATGATGTTTTGTTTGTGATAGTTTGAAAATAGAACATTCTCAATATTTCTTAACATAATTGCATCATTATAGTCTTAACACAAAATTGTAGAAAAAAACAGCCTTATTTACGAGGTACAACGTTAATTGTGTTATTTTAGAATATTTTAAAACAATTATGGTATTTATTCATTTTAATTAGCTTTTAATTTTAAATTAGCAGTTTGTCATTTTAGTACTTCATCTTAAACTGATTCATTTCAGTTAGATGCCATTGCAAAGGCAACATTTTTATTTATTTTATTATTTCAGCTTTATTTCAATTACTGAAACAAATAATAATAGTTTTAGTTTCAGTTCATTATGACAACACTAATTATATAATGTTAAACAGAGATAAATGGGTTATATTTCCCACATAAAAATGGTTTTATTTAATTATTTTGTATGTCTTGTATTTCTTTTACTGAGAAATTACTTGTTTTGCCAGATAATTTAATGTAAAAAAAAAAAAGTCAAACTAAAGTTTCATTCGTTTTGCTCTATTTTAAAGTTTGTTCAAGTCTTTTCATGACTTAACTAGATGTTTCTTTTTGTTTTGGCAGGTTTGTGAATCCCAAGACCTTCTATTCAAGGTCAGCAGAGAGGAGTTTGTGCCTTTCCTTTTGAATTTTTTGCGAGAGCAGAGCAGTCAGACTTTGACCCATGGCCCCACCACTCCTGCCAAGACCCCCAGCACCTCCAAATCTGTCAGGACTCAGCACTCTTCTGAGCGGAGAGGCAACAAATCCACGCCAGTCCAGGGTCTGCGCAGTGCCAGCCGAGTCCAGCTCTTCTCTCCTGCCCCATCTACGTCCCCAGTGGGTGGGAGGAGTGAGCAGGAGAGCCCATTTACCAGCTCTCATTGTTTGAGTGGCGTCAGCGCCTTCAGCAGCCCTTCCTTCAGCTCTGTCTGGAGCCCTGCTCTCCGCAACACCCCCTCCGAGCGCCGCTCCGCCCAGCGTCCCAGTCTTGGCGACTTCATGACGTCACCCCCAGAGGTCCAGCCCAGCTCCTCCACACAGCAGCACAAAGGCCGCAGGAGGAGTGGGGGGTTTGGGGGGTGCGCGTCTGGCCGACAAACAGGAACTCGCGTTGTTGTGTCTGAGGAAGGAGGTGGCAGGAGAAGTAGAGGTGTAGCGAGGCTGGAACCAGTGTCACCTCCAACACAGGTGCAGCTCAACTTCAATAATTTGGAAGACTTTCCTCCAGTGGGTGCCGCCCAGTCTTCACCAGTGTAAGTGATGAATCATACCTCTTTTCCAGAAAGATCGGTTCAACTCCGGCCCTAAAACGTACCGGTCTCGAACAGAGCCGGACAGCGGGGGACTGAGAGGTTGCTGCCGTTGTCTCGTTGAGCAGTCTAAAAACATTGCTCTATTTTACTCTTTATATCTAAATATATAAAACTATGCACGCGTGCAAGAGAGCGAGTGAATCAACTGGTTTCAGTTTAAATTTACTAATAAAGGAAAAAAATAATAGCGTCCACATTAAATAAATAAAAAAAGTCTACACATGTGC